AGCTTTGCTCAAGTTTAGTTGGTATTTCTCACTAGTCCTATGGACTTTGACGCACAAGGTGTATGCTGATTTGGATGGAGTTATCTACTTTCTTCGACTACTTGGGAGAATTTGGATCAAGGTGGAGATTGTTAAATTGTTATCCAAATTATACCATGTTGGACTAGACTTAGTACAACCGGTATGGGCCTTTGCGTTGACGTTGACATCGACGCGTACGAGTACAACTCGTTTACTTGTCCTCCAAGGACTCTCATGTATTGCCCTCTTATATAACCCATGTAGTCGCACCTCAGACGGTCTGTCGTCTCGTGCTTGTAATACTCCTCCCTCATAGTGATTGCGCCTTCGTGCGTCCGTGGTTTTATTCCGCAAGGGTTTTCACGTAAAAATTCGTGTCTCTTTGTCTCATTTATTTTTCCTTATTATCTAACATATCTAATGCATCAGCAGCCTCTCAAATTATTGAAGACACTCTTCGGAGAAACTTCATGTATTCATTTCACGTCTCGATCTATCGTTCTAGCTCAGTCGTTCAATTCATCGTAGTTCCATCACGGAATAAAAATAATATGTACATTGTAGTTTCACGCACCCGTCTATTTTGGTTAATTAGTTATCCCTCATGCACGGGGTTCCTACGTGAATAACTAGATATTTGCATTTTAAATAACGGAAAGCATGAGCACGCCATCCAACCTACGTGGCAACATTGAAGTAATTTATGACCATTGAAGTACTTCCGCATGATGTTAAACAACGCGGTGTTACTGTTAAGCCTCCAGGGGGCGACTCGGGCGCCCCAACCGCCGCCGCCCTCGATCCCCTTCTTCCCCGCCGCCGCCGAAGGAGGCCAGCGAGCGAAGCTCGCCCGGCGGACGGCGGGCCTTCCTCCTTTCTTCACAAGGGGATCCTCTGGCTAAGATGCATCGGTGTCCCTGGGCGTACAGCATGGAGGCGGAGTTGGCGCGCTCGGGCGACGGCCCGATGGGATCCCGGCGGCGCTGCGGGGGCTGGCAGCGGCGGACCTGGGGTTTCCCGCCCCAGATCGGTTCTCCTTCGGGTGGTCGGGCTCGGGCGCCGTCCGGCGGTCCTAAGCGGTGGTGGGCGCTCGCGTTGGCTATCCTTCTTCACCGATCTGATTGGGGGCGGTCGAAGGCATTGGCGTGATGCTGGATCCGAGCACGGTGATGGCGTCATCCCCTTCAGGGATGACGGTCGGGTGGTGGGTCCTTGTGGCGGCGTCGGTGGCGGCGGATCTTGGGATCCCGCTCCCGGGGACGTTGCAGGACACGGCGGCCCGTGCACGAGAGATGAAGCTTCTTCGAACAGATCTGAGTGAAAACTTGCTTTTGACTACTGCAAAGGCCGGCGGTGGCGGCACTGTCTGTGTCGTTCCCTTCTTGAAGGCATCGCCGTGGAGAAGTTCAAGGTCACTCTCTGCTACCTCCGGGGGAAACCCTAGATCAGTTGATCGGATGATGGTGGCGCTCTGGTGTCTTTTCCCCCTTGGGGGCATCATTCATGGAGGTACACACGGGCTCGAAGAACAGAGGACGGTTTCTTTGGTGGAGTGGTACTTCATCTTATACATTGATGGCGGCAGATCTTGGCGGCGTGGCGCTGTGGAGATTCGGAGTCCGATGCGCGGAGATGAACTCGCGCAGGGAGGTGGCGCTGTCTGGCGTTGTGGTGGCGTCGACGGCAGTTAGACCGGACAAGGTTGATGTAGCAGTACAACACTGAAGATGGATTGGTGGCAGGTGGCTGCGGCGGCCTCATACCCGGCAGGCGTCCTGGTTGAGGGGTGCGCCGGACTGGTAGGTGCCCCATACCCGGCAGGCGTCCTGATTGGGACCTCAGGTCTTAGATGTTTAGGTTTGGCTACGATGTTTGTTTGGTATTAGGCCCAGACTATCTGCGCCCCTTCATCAATTGAATAGGTGTAGCGATAGTTGTTGCTTAGACGGTGGATTTAGTCTTGCTGTTGTATGGCTTTGTAAGGTCTTCTGAGAATAATTAATAAAGTGGCCGTATGCATCGCCCAGATGCAGAGGCCGGGAGTCATCCTCTTTTTCTAAAAAAACTGTTAAGCCATATGATTAAAAAAAGTAATTTCGTAATTTGTTTCTCTATGTGCGGAGCATAATTTTTAATTTTTGTAAATACATCATGAACTTCTTTAGGTACGGCCATGCATATTAAAACATGTTAATCAAGGGCATCCTTTGGTCGCGGATTTTCAAATGGATTTTCATAGAATTTTTAGGAATTTCAAGTTCGGTCTTGTAAACTTCTAGTAATTGTAATGCATTCTTATGAGCTCAGGTCCATAGGAAAAAAAAGACCATCTCCTCTATTATCTCTCCTCATTCCTTTGGAGAGGCGGCACAAAATCTCTTGATTATTGAGAAAATGCTCTCCCTCTGTCTAGAATCAAACACTCTTGTCTTCATTTCTTATGGGCTACAAACGGTCACTGATTCAAAATTTCAAGTTTATTGATTTCATAAACCATTTTTTCACACCAAGATTATAAAACCATCACCAAGAAAGTGCTATCTATCTATCTACCTTCAGGTCACCAACCTGAAGTGACTCTGGCAAAAGCTATCTAGCTAACTACTGCTCACATTTTTTTTTCCGAAAAGGATGACCCCCGGCCTCTACATCAGGGTGATGCATGCAGCCATTTTATTAATTATTCATCAAGACCTAATAAAGTAATACATCAATATGTATGAAACCGGGGTATCCGGATGTGGAATGCTTTTTTGAGGGGTGACCGATCATTGTCCGTGGACGCATCCGGGCGCGTTCGGGAGCGTTTGAGGGGTTGGATCTGCCAAGTCCGGTTGTAGATGCTCTTAGTTACCATTATGCAAGAACTACATTATCAGATACTGAAATGACATTTTGTATATTGATTCTCTTAAAGCTTACTAACATGTCAAAAAATTGCCTTCTACTCCCTCCGTTTCTAAATATTTGTCTTTTTAGAGATTTCAAATGGACTACCACATACGGATGTATATAGACATATTTTAAAGTGTAGATTTAGTTATTTTGCTCCATATGTAGTCACTTGTTGAAATATCTAGAAAGACAATTTTTTAGGAACAGAGGGAGTAATTTATAGAATGATGAAAAGTACTGTTACAGCGAGACTGGCTACCATTTGCCTTTGGAATGTTTACAAGTACAAAATGGTATACAAAACAAGAGAACAAGACCAAGCAAACAAAGGTGTTGGCTGAGACGTCCACGCCAGGTGGCCCAAAACATTATGTTACTTACAGGAGTTGTGTACCAATGGAGGATGAAGAGAAGTTATCTATTCTTGGTTTCAGGGTATTGATATTATTAAAACCTTTTTCAGTTATTACTATAAAGAAAAAAAATATTGCATGAGGTATCACCCCCTACCATCGGTTTCTTGTTCCTGTAGCATTTGGTTCTTAATGTAAAGATTGCATGATGTATTACCCTTGCCATCAATTTCTTGTTCCTATAGCATAGTCTTCGGCTAAAAAGTCTAATAAACTGTGAAATATCTTACAAAAATTGTTGAGAAAGTGACAATCTTGTGTAAGTGTTTTTTCTTCTTCAGAACTGGGCTTTTATCTCACACATAAGCGAGAGTGAATACACAGATCTTTTGTTCGGTTTGTGGCAGTGGATTTCGGAGGGATGAAATGCAGACTGTGCTTCTGTGAATCCCAGTTACTTCTGAAGATTGAAACTTCTACTTCTCCAGTTAAAACTTAAAGGCTGCTTATGTACTCTTAGCTTAGGAAAGTGAACCATATGTTCTGCTTGTCGTAAAACTGACATGATTGTTACTAGTCACATCACATTTCTTGATAACCTGATTTCTTCTCGGTTTTCATTTATTGTTATCTTCACAGTTATCCAAGACGAGTTTTACATCAATTTTTGCATGTGAGTCTGAATCCCAAAGCATGTCCTTTGCAGGTCCTCATGGTTGGAATGCTGCTGGTAAGTGGGCCATTCAGGTATTACCAGAAAAGGCAGGCAAGTCTAATGCAAGGGGTTTCAAGAAACCCGACGAACCCTCCTAGGTTTGAGCATGGACCAGTTAAAGTGATTCGATCATCGCTCGTGATGATTCGTCGTGCCATTTTGGTTTTGCTGTTTACCTTTTGCCATTGTAATGCATCTTCTCCACAAATGTACCTGCAGAGGAAGCTTCTGACAGGAGTAGAAACCACAGTGGCTAGCCTTCTTACATTTGTGCCGCCTTGGATTGAATTCATGAATCAAATCTTTTGTATCATACTATGTAACAAATTGTGCTTTTTCTTCATCACACCAGCAGATTTCCCTGACTGAGTAAGAACATTTTCAGTCTCAGCTTCATTGCGGAAGTCGGGTTGTCATGAACCGGTATCTTAGCCTTCAGATTCCATTTTGTTCAGATCAGCACAGCAGCAAATGCCTTGTAAGATGGTTTTCAGCCGAAAATTGATCTACTGGCATCAACATCTATTGGCACTAACATCCTGAGAAAAAACTCTGACCAATGGGGACTAACATACCAAGGCCCTGAGATTTCTATTTACAAGAACAACCAAGGGCCTACTGAATAAATTGATAATCAGGTGCTTGTAAGCGACAATGGCGCTATACAAGTAATCTCAGGGCCTAAGATCCAGATATCCATAAAAAACACAAAATAGAATCGGATATAATATCTCATCAGCAACCTTGAGCTCTACAAAGTAGCCCATTAGTTAGTTCATCTCCAGTTCACAACCACCAGCCCAGCCTCACATAATAAGAAGGCATACATGCATACGCTGCAGAAAATAAAATGCAGAGCTTCACAACCACCCTTCCGAGCATCAAAGCTATTCCCTAATTACTACAGAAATGTCGATAATATACGCTATTCGACGAACATATGTCCATCGCATCTCGGTCGTAAGTACAATTATATAATTAGATGTGCCACCTAGTTCGTCAAACAGCCCCACAAACTACGCCCTCTGCACTCGGTAGACCGCCGTCATGAGGTTAAAGAGGCAGGATGGCGCGATAGCGAACCAGGTGAAGAAAGCCATGGAGGTGGAGGCCATGAAGCTCGGGCAGTGGTTCTCCGCGCACATCATCAGGTCGTTGTTGATGAGAATGGTGATGCCTGCCGATCCGCTCGCTGCAGCAAAGGTCAGTGCTCCAGTGACCTGCAGATGAACATGAGAAAATACTTTGCTTGTTCAGGTATGTGAAATATTTTTAGTGTAGGGAGTCCAAGGGAACGACAGATGGCTGTTTCCTTTGAGGTGCCTGAGAAAATGTTGGCTGTTTCCTTTGAGGTGCCTGAGAAAATGTGCGACTTACCCAGTCCCCAATGGAATATATGGTGGTAGCTCGAGGTGTCCGGAAGGCGCGCTTGACAAGAAGTGCATAGACGTCAACGGCGGCCAGAGCAAGGCTCCACAGGCATTGCAAAGCCTCTGCTGTTACGAGGAGGCTGCTCAAAAGAACAACAGTGAGTTCAGTAATCGATCCCCTGTTCCGAGTTCTGAAAGCAACATCCTAAGTCTAATTGCATCAAAGATATAAGATAAGATACACTGCATACTAGTACTTTTGTTTCGTGTGGTTGTCAATGCTATCCCCAACACTGGCGAAATGTAGATCTTAATATGTTCTCCTCCAAGTAGTATGAATATATTTAGTCAGTGTCCATTAATCACACTGTTCTGAATTCCAACAACCAGAATGCTAATAAAACCTATCGGCATATCCAAGAAAGACAGCTGAGATGATATCACGGAGAACATGACCATGTCACCATCTGATTTGCATTGCCTCTTTCAGGAATGCTAGACTAATCGTAAAACACTGGATGCACAGTATGTATATATGTATGCACAGTACACGGTTGTCCATTACAATCACACTATTCCGAATTCCCGTAACCAGAATGGCGGAGTGTGAAGCAAACTTATCAGCATGCCAACTGAAATGCTCTGTGGCGAATGCCCGGGAAACTAGGCATGCAAACATCAAACTAGGGAGCAAAACAGAAAGAAGGCTCAAGCTCATTGCTGTATCCAAGAAGACAGCTGAGTTGATACCACAGAGAACATGGCCATGTCAACATCTAATTGCATTGCCTCTTTCAGAATGCCAAGCCAAATCAAAGGGCGTGAAAGTATCGAAATGCTGCGAACAGATACGAGCATCTGTCTTTGCAGAATTAAGACTACAAGAAAGCACACAATAATAACTTATGGTGGAAAGTCCGCACTATTTGCAAGTTGGAGTATGTGCTTGTAAGATTCCTTCAGCTTGGATGTGAAATACGAGTACTTAGTACGTAGTAATCAGCATTTTATAAAAAAGAAAACAGTACTCTTGCTTGCTAGTCCTGATCACTGCCGAGTTAATTCTACATGGCATGGTGTTGTTTTACTAAGTTTAAGAAGTGGTTCTTGTTTGGTGAATTGGCATGGTGCTAAAATTCTGTGTTGATGCTTGCTAGTTATGTGTCAACAGAAACCCTGAACCTGAAACTGAAATCATCCCAATTTTGTTACTGTGTGGTACTACTAAGACCAAAAGGAATTCAAGGGAAGATAAAAAACCATCCCAATTCCAACCATGTAACTACAGAAGCACTACTAACAGGTGAGCAGACAGGGTCTAGAAATTTGGGCAGCTAATATGGATGAATCCCTGAATTCTTTCTTAGCTGAAATTGAGAAAACCCCAGCTCACAGGGCATCTGTTCCGAAATTGGCAACGAGGGATCGATCTGCTTTCAGTGCTACTGTAAATGAGAAATGGCAGCCGGGCCGTGGATCGAGACCCTAGGGGGTTGGGGGGAGAAAGAAGATGTGGAGAGGGAAGGGGGCACTAACCGGAAGGCGGTGACCTCGCTGAAGTCGTCGGTGGAGGCCATGAAGCCCATGGCGGCGGCCGCGAGGAGCGCCTGCACGAGGCGGGTGCCGAGCCCCCAGCGCGTGCCCGGCGCCCCCATCAGGTCCACCATCACCACCCCGGGCGGCGGCGCGTTCGCGTTCGCGTCCTCCACCTCCGCCGCCGCAGCCGGAGCCGGAGCCGGGGCCACCGCCTGCCCCTGTCCGTCTGCCGCCGCAGCCGGGGCCACCTCCTGTATCTCTCCCTCTGCCGCCGGGGCCGGGGCCGGAGCCGGAGCTGGAGCCGGAGCCGGAGCCGGGGGCGGGCCTTGTCCCTGCGGCTGCGGCGGCGCATCCGGAACGGGAGGCGGCGGAGCCGGGTGGACGACCGGATGGCTGGCCCGCGGGAGCT